CGGCCTACGAGATCCTCGACTTCTTCTTCGAAAGCGGCGGCAACTTCATCGACACGGCCAACAACTGTGAGAGCTCCCTCCCCACAAACACACCACCATCCTGAAACCCTTCCTTCTTTCCTCTTGACTAAACACACACACTTCCAGACCAGGGCGAGGAGTCCGAGGAATGGCTCGGCGACTGGATGCAGGAGCGCAAGAACCGCGACCAGATTGTGCTCGCTACCAAGTTCACCACCTTCTTCCCGTCGGGAAAGGGCGGCGAGACCATCAAGAGCAACTTCCAGGGCAACCACAGCAAGAGCTTGCGGGTCTCGCTGGAGGCTAGCTTGAGGAAGCTGAAGACGAGCTACATCGACCTGGTAGGTTCTTTTTTTTTTTTCCTTCTCGGAGTGGTGGATGTGCGCAGGCGGTTATAGGTGGTCAGAAGCAGAGGGTGGGGGAAGGGGGAAGCGCCATGACGACGAAAACCAAACCGAAAGAAGAAGAAGAAGAAGAAGAAGGAGAAGAAGACAAAAAAGCTGACCGTTGCCCGACGCGACCCCCGCGCCCCAGCTCTACGTGCACTGGTGGGACTTCTCCACCTCGATCCCGGAACTCATGCAAACGCTCCACCACCAAGTCGTCGGCGGCAAGGTCCTCTACCTCGGCATCAGCGACACGCCCGCCTGGGTCGTCTCCATGGCGAACCAGTACGCGCGCGACCACGCCCTCACGCCCTTTTCCGTCTACCAGGGCAAGTGGAGCGCCGCGGACCGCGACTTCGAGCGCGACATCATCCCCATGGCGCGGCAGCAGGGCATGGCGCTGGCCCCGTGGAACGCCCTCGGCGGCGGCCTCTTCAAGACCGAGGACGAGCTCGCCCGGCAGGACGAGGGCCGCAAGATGTTCCCGGTGCGCGAAAAGGACAAGAGGATCGCGGCGGCGCTGGACGAGCTGGCGGCGCCGCGCGGGGTGCACCGCACCGCCATCGCCCTGGCCTACGTCATGCGCAAGAGCCCGTACGTCTTCCCCATCGTCGGCGGGCGGAAGATCGAGCACCTGCGCGGCAACATCGAGGCGCTGGGCATCGAGCTGGCGCCCGACGAGATCGCCCGCATCGAGGCGGCCGAGCCGTTCGACGTCGGGTTTCCCATGAACTTTTTGTTCGAGTTTGGAGAAGGCCAGACGTACCACAACAGGATGGGCACGGGCGATGTTGGGCTCGTCAAGGCGTGTGCGCATATCGACACCGTTCCGCAGCCCGAGGTGAGTCGTTGTCCCTGCCGGCGTTTCGTATTTGCAGCAGACTGACGCTTCTTCGCAGCCCATCAAGCCGCGGAAGCTCTGAGATGGGACGTTGAAAAAGGGGGAAAGAGAGGATACAGCATCCTGGGCCAGGGTGGATGAGGAAAGAAACTGACCGACGGTGATCTTTGTGCAGGCAGTTGAAGCAAGTATATTGACGTAGATGCAGGTTCAAACGACTCTTGTTCATGAGCGGCTGAAGTAGATGTCCGGATGCAGATGCGACGATTGAGAAAAAAAAAAAGTCAAATTTGATTACATGAGAAAGGAAGGAAAAAATGAGATCTTGTCTAAAATGTGTTTGTGTGTTTTGGGGTATCTGAAATTGTGTGCATGCCGCCACCGAACCGCGCATGCTTTGAAGAGAAGTTCCAAAATGCGGATTGCAGCGTTGCTGTTTTATTTACCGCCTTGCACGACATGTCAGCACTGTAAAGAAAATGTCAACGATTTGGGACAACTCACCCTTTTCATCACACGTACCTACTTGTTCAGCCCCGCATTTTCCACCTTCTCGCGTAGACTGGCGACTTCGGCCTCCAGAGCAGCGTGCTTGTTCCAGAGCTGGTTGACAAGCGCTGCGGTGCCGAACATGTCCTTGTCATTGGACGCCGAGGGCGAGGCGACAGGGGACAAGGCGCCGTTCCTCCTCCAGGGATCGCCACCGGGGCCGGCCGAAGGAGGGCTCATGACGCTGCCGCCGTTGACGACGGGGATGGTGATGCCCAGCTCGTCCTGGCGCAGGAAGGTGGCGCCCTGGAAGACGGGGTTGCCGCGGGCGGAGACGGTGAGCGAGAGCAGCAGCGGGCGGCCCTCGGTCGGCGTGTCCTCCGGCCACAGGGCCGAGTACTCGTCGGCCAGCTGCAGGTAGGGCAGGCCGCTGGAGCGCTCCTGGCTGGCGGGGAACAGGATGCGGTCGTTCTTGTCGCGGTCCGACACCATCAGGCCGCCCTCCTTGGTGTCGATGGCGCCCTCCTCGAAGGGGGCGCCGATGCCGATGATGCTGCTGCCGGTCAGGAGGTTGTAGACCAGGTCGGGCGTGTACAGCACGCCGCGCAGGACCAGGTCGCCCGTCTCGCCGTTGATGGTGGCAATGCGCAGCTTGACGTCGCCGATGGCGTAGGCAAACTTCAGGCGGCGCGACACGTCCGACGTCTGCAGCGGCCTGATGGCGCGCAGGCTGGTGAAGCGGCTGAGGTCGTTGCACATGGAGTAGCCGCTGTCAGCTGACAGCAGCACCCACGCATTGTGGTTGAGGCGGAAGTCCGTGTTGGGCATGTAGGGCCAGCTTTGTTTTGCGCGTGCTGCTCGATTGCTGCAGGCGCTGGACCAGGGCTGGGGGGGACGCGTGAGAGTGCAGTTGGCAGCAGTGCGAGGAGTGCGGCGAGTCGGCGGTGGTGCAGCCCAGCAGCCCAGACCCCTGGATCCTCGTTGCGGGGGGACGCCCGCGCTAGGCCGCATCAGGCAACAGATGATCCCCGTTCATGCAATAATCAAAACCAGGGTGGCAAATCCCATGCGCTGCACCAAACAGTGGGGCTGCTGCAATCTGGCCGTATACGAAGGACTGCCGCTTCCTAAATATCATCATTCCCGCTATAGCCAACGCCGCCCGTAGCACTCCCTGCAGCCCTCCCAAGGCCCTCCCTGCAGCCCATCCAAGGCCCATCCTGCAAGACGAAAAACAAGGCTTTTTGCGAAGCTCCCCGCCAAGAACCTCCGATGTGCTGTGTATAAGCTCGAGCATCCCGGCTGGGAGCCACGACGAACCAGAAAGGTTGTTACGCTTGAGCCTCATCCTTCCCGGTGCGGCACCCCACGCCACAATGCATGCACCCGCCCGGGTCAATCAGTTCTATGGTCGAGAACAACGCGATACATGGCTGAGATGCCGTGCATTCATGTGACTGCTGTGCTCCACTGAAGGAATCGCCTTTGCATATCTTGCCCGCCTCTCAGTGCTTACCCGCCGAACATCCACCCCAAGATATTCCATACATGGGCACTGCATGTCCACATTGTAAACAAGCCTGCGGATGTGGGTACAGATATGCATCCTGGTTCACCACTCTATGCGGGCTACTCTGCTCTACCCGAAGAATCTCTCATCAGGCCAACCCACATGCCGAGACATGTGTCACATACGAAAAGTACGTTCCCGTGAACTGTCGATTCACCGTCTGCAGCCCATGCTGCATCAGACGGAATATCCCCAAGCGGCCTCCGAAAACGCCCACGGACATTTCCTTGTCTTGCTCCAAACCCCGCAGACATCATAAATACGCCGCTCGAGCTCTGGAAATCCGGTAGTGGCCAAGGCATGAACAGAATGAGGCTCTGTTTCTATACTGCAGCTCTCGCTGCATCGCTATTCGTCACGTCTTGCCATGCTTTACCCGATGCCCGGCTTAAATCTCCACGGCTGAAGGGCCGTGCTCCTTTCCACGATACCAGAGAGGAGAACACAGTCCGACAGCGAGATTCCAACGACACATCGCGAACCTACATCCCCATCACCTCACCGTATCAGAATATCTTCCGGCCATTGACTGACGTTGAGACCGCTGACGTTACCAAGTTCCTCCACAGTCAGCCAACACTCAATCTGACCGCTGCCGAAAATGCAACAAGGCGTGTTGATCCTCCTTCCTTACTCAGACCTTGGAAATCCTAACCAATCTCTACAGCTGGGATAACACCATCGTTACAGTGGAGACTCTTGCACCGAACAAATCAGCTGCTCTGCCCTACCTCAATGCCAACACCACAGCGCCACCCAAGCGGTATGCCCGGGCAACTCTCAAGTTTGCTGCTACCCATGAACCCTATTTCGAGGACTACTTGGTCGGTCCGTTGCCGGTTGGCGATGCGACAGAATGCAAACCACTCACTTTCATCTACAACAAGGGGGTCTCCACTCAGCGTCTATACGACGCGGATGGCGACAAAGTCGGCGATTTAATAGAGGATCTCGGAGCTGACGTAGCTCCCATCCTGTTGGACCTTTACAACGCAACAGACGGTGGTGATGAAGGCAATGGCTCACTCAGTGCTTGGAGGATTGACCCTCTGTCGACAGAGAACGGAGACGTCATTGCTTGGTACCAGTACTGGAGAAACCCCACCCTGAACTTTGACGACAGCACGCTCCTTCCCCAAGGCCTCTACTTCAAGCTCAACATCACCGGGCGGGATCCAAATGGTTGGGGTGTTATGGGGTGGTACTATGGTAAGGTCGACCTCCTTTCCATAAATTCCATTCTCCGACTTGTCAACTGATTGTTTGCAGATGGCATCTTCTACGGCTCTACCGAAGACTTTCGAGAGGCCTGGAAAGCCGGCAAAGTCTCTCGCATCGCATACGAAACCGACGGCACATGGGGCACAACCGACTGGAACCGTGAAGAGCTCCCTTTGGATCAGTACAACCCACCCATGGCAATCAAGCCAGACAATCCACGGTTCGGGCTTGATGTGGGTCAAAAATACGTTGAATGGAGTGAGTGTCTGTTGTTTGGATTCTGTCCTCGACTGACGCATTCCAGTGGATTTCTCCTTCTTCATAGCCTTTACTCGGGATACGGGCTTGGCTCTCTACGACATCAGATACAAGGGTGAAAGGATCATCTACGAGCTTAGCATGCAGGAAGCCCTTGCACACTACGCCTCTTCGGATCCCTACCAGGCAGGCATTGCCTATCTGGACTCTTTCTACGGGTTCGGTCCATTTGCGTTTGAGCTGGTCAACGGGTACGATTGCCCGTCTTACTCGGCTTATCTGAACACTTCCTTCTACGCGTCGGAGAAGACACACTGGCATCCCAACAGCATCTGCATGTTCGAGTTCGAGAACGACTACCCGATCCAGCGCCACTCAACCGCGAGATACGTCAGCATCACGAAGAACATCAAGTTCGTCGTGCGCACCGTTTGCAGCGTTGGCAACTACGACTATCAGTTCACTTATGAATTCCACCTGGACGGCTCCATCCAAGTCCTGGTCCGGGCCTCGGGCTACATCCAAAGCGCCTTCTGGGCTCACAACGCCGACTATGGCTTCAAGATCCACGACGCTCTGTCAGGATCAATGCACGACCACGTCCTATCGTTCAAGCTAGACCTGGACGTAAAAGGCACGGCAAACAGTTTGATGAAGACAGAGTTTGTGCCCGTCACCGAAACGTCAGTGAAACCTACCTCCCTTGCCCCGGCCCCGACTCACGAACTGACCCCCGCAAAGCTACCCATGGTCCAATGACACGCGCAACACGATGAAACTCTCCAAAACCTTCATCACCAACGAAGCCGACGCCAAGATCCACTGGTCTCCCAACAGCGCTGCCGTCTACTCCGTCGTCAACAAGGACACGCCGAACCCCTACGGCGAATACCCCGGCTGGAAAATCGTCCCCAGTAATTAACTCCCCCATCTCCCTCCCTCCCTCCCTCCTCACCACCAACCACCCACCCACCCACCCACCCTAACCAAACCACACCCCCTCACTAACCACCTCCCTCCCCACCAGCAACCGGCACAACCATCCACCTCACCAACCCCAACAGCAGCACCCTCCCCCCACGCTCGCACAGCTGGTCCGCCCACCCCCTCTCCGCCGTCCTCCACCACGACACGGAGCCGCGCTGCGCCTCTCCGCTCAACGCGCTCGACCCGGCGGCGCCCCTCGTCGACTTCTCGCGCTTCGCCGCCGACAACGAGTCGCTGGACGGCAGCGACGTGGTGCTCTACTTCACGCTCGGCATGCACCACGCGCCCGACACGGCGGACCTGCCCAACACGGTGGCGACGCTGGCGCAGAGCGGCGTCACCATCGCGCCGCAGAACTATCTCGTTGGCGGGGATGCGTCGAGGGCGTCGCGGTGGGGGGTGAGGGTCGATGCGGGGAAGGGGGGCGGCCGGCCGGCGGAGGTGGTGAGGTTTGGGGGAGGAGGAGACGGAGGAGACGGAGGAGGAGGGGGAGAAGAGGCGGGGGGGATGTTCAATTTGACGGCGGCGAGGTCCGGGGTGGAGGGGTATCAGGGGGGGTTTGTGGTCAGGAAGTTTCCGTATGATCCGGCGAATTGGTGGTGGGAGGGGGAGGCGGAGGATCAGCAGTCGGAGTAGTGGTGGTGCTGGGGATCGAGCGGTGAAGGATCGAGGAGGTAGGTGGGAAGGATGTTGTGTGCGGAAGAGGGGCTTTTATGATTGATGGCTTGGATGTAACTTCTTAGTTATACTTAGTGCGAGTACCGCTCACGATCATGTCTTTTTCTCGCGAGGTATATCTCTTAGCACGATGGTTGCCTTCTCATTGCTGTCGTTTTCCTTTCCTAACGTAGCTTTGACTCAATAGCACGCCAAGTTGTGCCAAGACAGATGGTCAATGTCCACTGATACTTATTTCCGGAGAATCTAAGCATTCCAGAACATGTCATGTTCGCAGATAGTTGGACGAACTTGACGCTTCGAAAGAGGTGCGTGGCAACAAGACCCAGCAGCCAACGACAAGCATGGATCAAGGCCATAACATCTGTCGATACGCAAGTGGCTGCTATAGGAGGGTGAGTAGTGCATACAGACAAACATTTCGATTACCCCTCTGCAGTCACGCAGACGTGTCTTGGAACTTTGACTAATCGGAATTCAGGGACGTCCGCCCTGCTGTTGAGATTGCATGCACGGAATGAGCCGAATAGTGCTCTGAGACACTTACACAGTAGCAACAGAGTCCCTTCGGCCTAAGTATCACCGGTCCCTCATCTGTCCGAGACATCAAGGTAATAGGAGCCACGTCACTCTACATCAGACCCATCTTGGAGATCGGCCCCACTGTCATATTGTGGTAGTTCTCCACAGAGCCATAGGTGAGCCAGGTAAGGGGTACAGCGTCAACGGGGATGAACCATCGCAGGGTGGTACGCACGCATGAAACAAACTAACCTCATTTACATTTCATTGAGGAGCAGAAAAGGCAAACTCCATCATTACACATATTACAACACGCGCAAATACGAACCCATCACCCCCAGCCCTGAGCGTCAAAACTCACTTCAGAAGACAAGCCGAAAAAGACAGTGCAACCCCTTACAAACTGATCAGGTATACCCAAATCCTTCGTCCGCAACCCAAAACAAACCTACACCACCGTAGCACCCTCTCATACAGCAAAAAAAGCAAATCCCAGGCCCACATGAGCAGCCAGATGAGAAAGCCCGCCTGTACATGTACAGGGAGCTCCTCCAGGCGCAAGAAGAAAACGACCGATGATTGTTGCTCCGATCCCGTGCTTTTAGGAAACGAGAGGAAAACCAGAAACCCTCCCTGCATCCGGACTCTTTTTCAGCGCCGCGCCCCCCACTCAATGATCCCGAACCCCGCCAAACATGAAGTGGATCCAACTCCTTCTCCTTCCCAGTTAGTGCCCAAAGCAAAGTAATGGAGATACTGTTGCGGGGTATAAGGTAGGGGTATATGTTAAAGGAGCAACTAGACAACGAAGGGGGGGGGGGGGTCCTACAAGGAACGCGAGACGAGAAAAGAGAGTATTAGATGAGAGAGAAAGCAGAAGCCGGGACAATTTTTTGTGATGTGACGTGTGTTTGAGGGAAACGATTGCGCCATAGACCCACCAACCCGTAAGAAGACAAAAACAATAAGCAACCATATCCGACCGTCCAGTCTTTCTTTAAAAAGGTATCCATGCCATCCCTCATGAGTAATCGTGGCCGCCAGCTGAACACCCACGCCCCCCCGGATTCGTGTCGTACGCTGGAAAGACTCGTGAAGATGTGAACAAGCAGACCAAGGACCCAGAGGAGTGTGAGTAGAAGGGACAACCGACGCAACTAGAACACCTCCCACCCGTTTTATCAACCCAAAATTCGTGTGCGTAGAGTGTGTGAGGACAGAGCGCAAGGTTTATGCCCCCCCAGGAACACCCTGAAATGCAAAAACTCCGTTCCAGGGAATAAGCAAGTACTTCTTGTCGTCGAGAAAGATTTGAACTCCGAAACCCTATTTCCCGCCCGCCACCCAGCAATTCCGAAGCTCCGGCCACGCATGCATAACGGTTTCGCATCTTTTTTTTGTTGAAACAAGAGAGATTGCCAAACCAGATACAGTACTTGGTTTGACATGATTTAGCCCCAGACCGAGGCCTGGACGCCGAGGGAGCTCTTCGACGAGCCCCACACGCCACTGTTGCTGCCCCAGCCGAGGCCGGCGACACCCCCCTTGTCGGTGATGCTCGACGAGGGGTTGGACGAGGTGGACGCGGAGCGCTCGTTGCCCTGCTGCTCGCTGGCCGTGAAGCCAAAGCTCAAGGGCGACGGGAGAGGCGTGGTCGAGCGCTTGCTGAGCGCCGGGTTCGCGGCCTGGCCCGCGGCCTGCGTCGGCCGAGTGCCGATCGGCGCGACGCCCGTAGATCCGCCTGACTTCATGCCGCCGCGAGGAGGAGAGCCGCCGGTGGGCGACGAGTTCGAGGTCCGGCTCGACTGCTGGGCATTCTCGAACAGGCTGAAGGACGCATTGTGGTTCGACGAGGGCGACGAAGTGCTGTTGGCACGAGAGCGCTGGGCCCCGGCGTTTGCATCCTTGCCGTCACGGGCCGGCATCTGCACCGCCGGATCGCCGCCGCTCTGCATACTGAAGGGGTCGAAGGCAAGCGGCGAGGGACCCCGGCCGGCGAGGCTCGTTGCGACCCGGGCGTCCTGGCTGGGCTGGCGGGGAGTGCCGTCGGCGTAAATGGTCGAGTTCTCGCCATACAGGGCACGGTGCTGGCGCGCGATGAGCTCACGGCGCTCGTCCTCACTCATGGCGTTGGGAGACATTGAACGGTCGGACTTGGCTCCCGAGATATCTGAAAGAACACCTGATGGGTTAACTACTTTCTCCTATTCTATTGTCCATTCTCAATCTCCTTACTCCGGTTGTATTGCTGCTCCTGGTGGTAGTTGCGAAGATCCCGTTCCCGCTGAGCAGCCATGCGCCGCTTAGCCTGCATCATTTGGTCGGTCTCGTTGGGACGCGGCGCAAAGCGCTGATTGGCGTAGTACCCCTGGAGGTTCTGGGCCGAATTCGAGCGAATGCCATCGTAGTCGCTTACCGAGTGGTGACGCTGGCTGCCGGCCATGCGCGGGTCTGGAGCAAGCAGTCAGTTCCGCCTGCGCGCAGCAACAGCAGCCCGGGGCAGCGCACTCTTACCGAACTCGCCACCGTATGGGCGGCCGCCCATCGGTGGCATCGAGTCGCGGCGGGGGACACCAGGCACCGGCGGCATGCCGGGCACGCCGCCGCCGCCGCCGCCGCCATACATGGGCATCTTGCCGCTCTTGTATAGATTGTCAATGGCACGATCGACCTCTGCATGTCAACCGTCAGTCAACTGGTCAATGGAAGTCAGGCGGTCGGGAGGGAGCAGACGCCGATGCCGATGCCGATGCCGATGCCATCTGCGCCATCATCGCTGCCGCATCGGTCGAATGGCGGGGCCGGGGGCGAATGCGCGGCGACGTACCTTCTATTTGCGAGGCGAAGGCGGCGCCATCATCGCGCTGGACGGTGGAGCTGGTGCCTGTGCGGTGGTGGTTAACGTCCGTCCTTGATGCCAGGCGCAGCGGGGGGCGATGGCGCTTACCAGAGCGCGAGGGCGGGGCGGGGCCCTCCCAGGACGGCTGGCGGCCAGCAGGCCAGGCCTGTTCGTTGGCGTAGTATGCGGACATGGTGGTGGCGTGTTAGGGGCGCGGAGCTTGGGCTCGAGGAAATGCGGGCTGGCTCGTCGGGACAGGGCAGGCAGCGAGGATTATTTGGGGAGCGGGAGGCCGGGTAAGCAGCGTGCTGATGACAGACTCGACGATTAGCTGAGCACTGGGAAGGGCGGTGGTGTGCCTCGGGCGCTATGTACAGGCGTGGTGTTGGGGGAGGGCGCACGGGGGAAAGTGGGTGCTCTGGCAAAAAGATTTCGTGGGAGGGTGCGCGGCGTCCGGGGCGCGGCACGCTCAGCACACAGACACACACACACACACGCACACACACACACGCACCTGTGCTCGGGGATGCGCTCGCAGCGGCGGAGGCTAAAGGAGTGACGGTTCTGCTCTGCGCACCGTCCGGGGAGGGAGCGTGGTCGGATGAGATGGTTGACGCGGTGCGGAGGGTCCAGCGGGTGTTGAGTGCTCGGCGTGCAGCGCAGGACTCAGGAGGAGTACTAATTAATGCCCGTGATGGGTCCGCGCTAGGCGACGCTGCTCATTTCCGACAGCCCTGAGCGCAGTGCCGGCGCAGCAGAGGGCGATGCCGGTCTTTTCTACACGCCCTGCCCGGCGCAGCGCGGCGGCTGGCTCGCCTTGCTGGGCCCGGTCGCGCTGCGGATGCGCGCAAAAACTCTGCCCATGCATGACGTCTCCACGGCTGGTCGCTGCCGTGGGCCAACGGCGCGGCAAGCGAGCGACTGCACTGGCGCCAGCCGCGGGCACCCTGGGGCTCCTCCTCTGGGCCAGCACCGACTCCCGCCCTGCACCAGCGTCTGCAGGACCAAAACTGCCAACCACATGCGTTTCCCCGCTGCGCATCCTCGAGCCTCCAGCCCGCACGGTGCGACTGCCCGCGCCCGGCCCGCGGCCACGGTCAAGCCTACGGTCAAGCTCCACAGGCACGCTGCTGTTCTCTGAAGGTTCTGTCAGCCGCCGACTGCAGCCCCGTCACACGCACCGCCTCCTGGTCGGTGGAGTCACGGTGGCTTGACGTGACAGCATCGATCATCGTGTCCGCCGCCGCCGTCACAAACGCGGCAGCTGCCCTGTGGCCCCGCCCGTCACGCTGCCCAACCGCCGTGACGGCATGGAGCAGGGAGCAACACCTGCATTCCTTGCACCTCGCTCGGTGCATGACCTCCAAATTCTCGCGCTCCAGGAAGATGGTGCGGGTGCGCTCGATCATGAGCCCTAAATCCTGCCCGGATCTATCCTTGAACGGAACGGCTTGCATGCTCGGGAAGCGATAACGTACCACCCTCAAAATCTTAACGTACCACCCCGACCCACTTAA